AAAAAAATATTTTGGAGTGAGGCTGTCACCTTTTTAAATAGTTACAAATACGTTTATTTAAAAAAATGCATGATTATTTAATATCATAATGTGGGTATCACAGGGAAGGTGTTTGAACAAGCTTTAACACTAACATTTCCTTGAGTAGGGTTGGCTATCTATCAACTAAGGTCATCATTGTTATTATTTAACTTCTATTATTTAAATAAAAATAAAGATACGAATGTAATTGAAAAATTTTAAGTGGTCAAATTTTATGTCAAAGTGTTTTTGTGGACTTTAAGAATTCTTTTAAAATTCTACCTGTAATTAGCCTGCAAATTGCCACATTCACAGTATCTAGGGCCTACCACGAAGAGGTTACAGGAATAAAACACCCTACTTTTTATTTAGTTTTTACTTTTTCTTTTTAATAATTTATTTACGGAAGAAAAACTCAATAACTTAAAAAAAATCAAAAATGCTTTCATTATTTCATTTTTTTTTTTGTTTTTTGTTTCCTAGAGCTATTTTAACATCTGCAATTAGATTAGTTTTGTCAAAAGAGGCAAAACTAGTTAATCTTCATCATTGTATCAATCTTGTGTAAATAGAAACTTTGACATTTTAATAGAGTGTTTCAGATGAATTATTTGGAAAAAATTGTAAGTAATTTTTTTGTCAAAAAGTGTCGCCCTGGGTTTAAATGGTTGTAAATTAAATAATATGTAAAAAGTATGCGCAACAAATAAGTAAAAACAGGAACTTTTTGCAAAAATTAATGTACTACAAAATATGCAAAAATATGCAATAACGATTGAATTCCATTTTAAAAGCAGTGCCATGATTCGTAACTTTATAATTTCCATTTGAAGATGCCCAATAAGAGTCAAATTCACAGTGAAGTTAACTCAGAATCATGCATTTGAATCGTGTTTTAAAACAAAAAATAATAGTCAATATATTTTCTTACAGACATTTTTGTAAGACTTATTGTTTATTGAAACAAATTCAATAGCTAGATCTACAGTTTTAGATTTCATTTATAAATTTATCAAATTTTTATACATAAATAAAGCTTACAGCACTATTATATATCTCAAACGAAAGGCAGCACGAACGACTCGTCCGAAGAGGAATGCTTCAAAAATTAGTCCGACGGCATCATGCTAGCCGGTGTAAAGGTAACCGAGACGATCGCAACGTAATCGATGTAAAGCAAGACGAAGATGACCGATAAAGTAATAAAATCACAATCAGAGGCGTCGTTGGTTTTTGGCTACTTTTTCACCATGTAACGGAAGTATTCAGAAAGGAGAAAAAACTATATTTAATACGTGCGCCAGATATTTATTTTTCGGCTTCTCCCGAACTAAGACTTCTTTACCCGTTTTTATTTCCTTACATACTACAGAAATTTTTATTACTATTAAAATGAAGATTAGCTTAAGAACCCTCTTAGTATTCGACCTCCTGTTCATGCTCGTCCTCGGGCACGAATTTTAAAGTTTGCTAAATTCGAGCTATGCCGAACTGCTATAGGGTATTGAAGAGAAAAGCGAAACGTATTTGCCGCAATAGTTAAGAAGAGAGATACCGAAATACGTGAGCTGGAAATACGTTCTGACAGGCAAAACGCCCTAAAATTTGAACAGAGATTTATACCATGTCCCCACCGGAGCTAGCCACGTATTTATGGCGGTTGAGTTTTTTATCCCGATAACCCACTTGATTTAGCGTAGTTTCGCCATATAAAAATGACAGCACTTAACCATTTCACTGAGATGGTTAAAAGCTAACCAACTCGAAACCACGTCGAAAGTTTGATACAACCCTGTATTTTTCCGCCATCTGTGGGTCATTAGCGTTAAAATTAGAGCGTTTCAGCACGTCTACGATTTGCAGGTTTTGCAGGATTTAGTCCAAAGTCGTTCCCGTAGGCCAATTCTGTATCTGGGAACACGCTCCTGAGAGTAACTGAGCAACTGTTCCCAGAATGAAGTTTCAAGAATTAGTCCGGAGTTTTTCTTCTGCCAAATTCATGAAAAGTGTCAAACGATAGGTAGAGTTGCATTTGTGTACAAAAACAGAAAGCGGTGAAAGCAAATAACCTTACATTTGTTAAAAAATGGAAGTAAATAATGAAATATTTGAATATATATGCAATTATTATTAATTATATAGATTTTAATAGTTATTTAGTGGTCTTTCAGCCAAATCAGTATTGTACTAATGACAAGTAAACAAACCAAATGACGTTTCAGCTGGAAAAGTGCTTTTTGCGTTCCCGTACACTTCTGCATCTGTTCTCCTGTTACTCTCACTAGAGAGAGTAAAATTGTAGTTTGACGTTTCCACAGGTTTTAGTCCGAAAAGTACTGGAACAAACTAAATGTTAAAAAATTCGTTCCCTACTAGTGTTTGGGTTTAACTAAGATCAGATTAGATTTACTCCGGTTTTTGAAAAAATTTGAAATCTACTCTATTCATTTTTTTCATTCATGTTATGCCTTCTTGGGGCCGTGTTTTCAGTGATCACTACCGGTTTCAGTCAAAAAATTGAAAGTTAGAAAATCTCACTGTTAAAAAGTTGTTTTTCATAGCAATGCGTCAATTAAGTATCTTCGTTACTTATTGATGTATGGCCGTAGAAATTGGCGGATGCAGAACTTTACTTAAGTTGTTAAAAAATATATGTAGGATGGAATTTATATAAAGTAGAAGAGGTTTAGATACTGTTATTCGTCAGTGCTGAGATCTCAGGATCCACCACTGGGATTAATTTTTGCCCTTCGAGAGCGGGATTGATCAGTAGTCTGCGAAAGTATCATTACAGGCATTTGTCACAAAGTTTACCGCTTAATGAATTTTTGACAATGGGTCCAGCTCAGCGGAAGAAACAACCTTTATGTGTGATAGAATCGCTTGATCAGGTCTTAACGATATCCTTATAGAGTGTATTTTTAAATTTTTCTCAGCCGGTTTGTTTCTTTTACTGTGTATGCTGTTAAAGTTCCAGGATCACGAGTGTACTTAAAACTTATGTAAAGATAGTCAGATAATAAGTGCTTTGTAGACACCTGCCAATCTCATTGTTGACCTTTGACCTTGAATAATTTTTGTTAGCACCACTAGTATGATTGGGGAATTTTTTTGCAATTGTATTTCTAAGACCTGTGCCGTTACTAATGTCATTGCTATTATTTAACACTTCCATACCATTGCTATTGCAATTAGCATTACTAACATGTATTATCGTAATATAAAATGATTTTTTGTCCCTTACATTCAATAAGTGCCGGGTGCTCAAAGCCTGGTTGACACTAATCATCAGTTAACATCGTTATCGTCGTTTTCGACTCCATACATATAACACGGTGTCGGTAACGTCGATAATGATGTGTAACCGGCGACTAGTGTCAACCAGGCTTTGAGCAACCGGCCATAACCAGATCGGACTCTAAAAAAAAATTCTGTGTGGTAGAATCTGGAAAAAATGTGGTAGATCTCAAAAAAATGTGGTATATCTTTGGGTTTGGATCAAACTTTGTACAAAAATTAAAAAAAATCTGCAAGGTTTCACCCAAATGGCAAACTTTTTAATTAGACTCTAAAAAAATTTTATTTTAGTATAATAAAGTGCAAGATTGAAGTTACTAAAAAGTGCGTTGTGTTTTGGAAATTGTTTTCCTTGACAGTGTAAAGCAGTTCCTTCCATATTAAGATATTTTTCGAACATATTTTAAGAGATTTCTGCAACCTTGCGGAGTGCGAACAAATGTGGCACGTTCCAGAAACAGCTAATTGGGATGCCAATTTTTACAATTTTCAAGTAAAAGTAAACAACGCCTCAGAAAACTTTCATGCACTTAAATTTGCTAATACTTTCACAAAAATCGCCGTTAATTAACATTTTCGTTATTAATTCTTTTTATAAATCATCTATTTTGCAATTTAACATAATAAAAAAAAAAACAAAAATAAAACTACTCAAAAACGCGAATATGTGGTAGATTTCAGACCTTGAGTGGTAGGTGTGGTAGATGCCCATAAAGTGGCAGATCTACCACAATGTGGTAGAACTCCGATCACTGGCCCTAACTCCTGTTTAAGTATTACCGTATTGATTATTTTTACTTCCTCATTTTTAGTTTCACTGCTGTGGCCTACATAACTACAGCGACTACACCTCTACGAATTTGCCTTTGCCGGCTAGTTGCTTTTATACGGAAAACGATGCCTGGATTTATTATACTGATGGCTGTTTGGAGAAAGTAAAATTTGCTGCTGGTAGAGCAAGTGATGCATTGTCCATTGCTGGCTTTCTGCTTACTGCGACACAGGTAAATACATACGGTGGCGAAAATGTTAATAGGGAAGAGACATTTTAGCAAGATTGGGCTATTTTTCTTTGTTGAAAAAATTATTATTATTTGCTTTTGAAAATATAGTAGCTTGCTATCTAAAAAAACACGTAAATCAAAATTTCGAACTTTGAAGAACAGCCAGTTCGAAAACAGCATATCTCAAAAAAACTTTTCAAAAACGTCCTATACCAGAATTTGGTTGATAAACGCCTTATTTCAGATAGGTCGATCTTCCACTCAGCAGCCGATTTGTAAAGATTCAACGAATTTAAAAACAAAGTTTCTTCAAAATTTTAAAATTTTTAATCAACTTTTCTAGATTTTTTTTATTATGCAGTTTTGTAGCGCATTGAATTTTAGTGCAATAAATTGACAAAAATCAACGGTAAGTCGCAGTACTTCAAACTTGCACTTTGTTATACCAAAATTGAATCGGCTGTTTCTAAGAAATCAAATTAAAAAGCTCGAAGTTTTGGTGAAACTTTAACGAATTTTACGATAAACAGGGTTCCATTGGATTCTTGGAAATATATAGTGGCCCTGGAACTGAAAATATCCTTAAACTTTTTGAATCGATTTGCATAGTGAAGACCAGTAAATTAGGTATTTAAAATTATACCATCGTAATCCTTGTTTAATTCTCTATAATAAAAGTGATTCAAAAAACATGGGCGTTTTTCAAGAATTATTTTTTAAATATTTTTCTTTATGACGAGATGGTTTATTTTGTGAGAATTAACAATTTTTTGTAATTTGTTTTCGAAAACTTATGTTGAGATATAGTTAGTTAAACAGTGTTAAATTAAATTTTGAAATTGTATCTATTATTATAAACTCCTGAAAAATATTAGTAGATACCGGCCATATGTGTACTACACACATCGTTACCTTAATACAGAAAGTCCCTATCTAAATATTTTTTTTCTTTACCGAGTGGTGAAAAACCTGCATACAAAATCAAGTCCCTTTTGCTGCGAATTTCTTTTAGAGGCTGTTTATTTAAGAATGTAGCTAATTTTATGCTTAGTAGACATTTTTAAAATCCAGTAGGTGTTTGGTGAGTTGTCGGCAGACTTTTGTATAATAAATTATTATTATTGAGTAAGGGCTTTTTTATATTAAGGTAACGATATGTATTTACACTGAACATCGTGCATTGTGGACGTTGGTTTTATCCGAAAAATACTGGATTTTTTCTCAAATATTTTTATTTTATTTTTTCAGGTGATGGCCTTAATATTTTCATCCGCTCTCACTTTAGCGTATTATCGAACTGGAGAGTACGAAGAGTTGTAGTAAAAAGCGAAATTTTAGGTAGACATAGAATATTGTCTTTACATCACCTAAAAACTTGCAGATTAAGCACTTCTAAATCTTGATATTTTTCTATCAAAAATAATTTATTAAAAATTAGCGTATACAAATTAATAATGTTAAATGTTTTCGTATGATTTCTTTTTAGCTATGATATGAGTTTACAATATGTGTATAAGTATTTATGTACATTGTATGTGTATGTACATAAAACAGTATTAGTAGTTTACAACTACTTACCTAAAATTTCTATTTCTAATTTTAAACATAAAATTTCAGATACTGCGAAATTAAAAATTAAATATGAATTTTTGCAATAGTACTTCTTTTAGCACTTTCATTAATTGGAGAGCAAATGGGAGCGCGAGTTGACATGGTTGAAGTGCGGCCCAGGTTGTTGAGCCTCATAGTCATCCTCTTCATTGCCTGTTCGATATGTTGCGCGATGACGTCTGAAAAGCAAAATGCTCAGAACGCACGAGTAGAGAAAGACAGCGCACTTTAAAAAAAAATGTGGAGAAAGATATTTTTAATACCAATATTAATGCATAAATATGCATATAGGTATATTTCCATATGTATTCTAAGTATTTACTTCAGTGATCAGTAGGGACCAATTGAAAACATTTTCTCGCTCCATGGTCTTATGGTACGTCGTTTCCAGCGCTTCAACACACCCGCGAGTAAATAAATTCGATTCAAGCGTAGCATTTTGGTAGCGATAACAGCTTACGGGCGTTGACATACGTATGTACCGGTAGTCATTGGCATTATATAGGCCACAGCAGTGATACTGGTGATGATAACAACGATTTAGTTCAGTTAAAATTAAATTAAATATGAGATGAACTAAAATAAAATAGGGTGTAACTAAATAAAACAAAATTAAATTAGATAAGTGTTAGTAAAAAGAATAGAAAGAAAGCATGTAAAATAATATAAAAATACTGATTTAAGTTAAATGCCGGTTGTTCATACATATTTATGTACTCTATTACTATTTTTTTTTGCTACCCTAATATGGGATGCGAAAGTGGTAGTTGTCTAATTTTACCCATTTTCAATGGCCTTATTGCCGTTTTCACGAAAGCAATTAAGTGAAAAATGATTTCTTTTTCTGCTAGTTTCCATATAAAATTCAAATAAAAAAAAACCATTTCCACTTAAATTGCTTTCGTGAAACTGGCTTTTATTGTTAGTCTAATAAAAGCATACTAAAAAAGTCTCAATTATGTACGAGTATACTTCAGTTATTTATTATAGAACCATCCGGACCCGACGGACTGTGTTCTATTTTAGAAAAAAAGACAAAATCAAATATGTATCTGGAGAACGAGAAGAGATAGTCGAAGGTCGGTTTTGGTAATTTTCATTCATTTCAAAATGATCAAAAAATCAACAAAAACTGTTAGTTTTTTGAGTTGTACTTAACTTAATGTTCAGGCAGTTGTTTTTAAAATTTATTAGATTTTTAGTAAGTAATCTAGTGACTTTATCAATCATTTATTTCAGACATATACTGCCGGGAAAAAGTATTGGCACACAGAATTTTTTACAGTATATACAACAACTTTTATTTAAATTTTTCCTGCTACAAAATTAGTTTATACTACAAAAAAAACATTAGAACATAATTTTTGAACTTTATGAAAAAATCAGTAAATTTCAATAAATTTTCGTGCAAGTTTTTTAGAATTTTTGTGAGTCTGCAGCTTTGTAGCCCAATAAATTGTATTATAGTTGTTATAGTGCAAGTTCAATGTACCTAAGACTTAACGTAGATTTTTGGCAATTTATTTTCATGCAGTTTCTTCCATACAAAAAAAAAACATTTCAAACATTTTTTGTTTGGAAAAAATGCGAAACACCTCTAACAAAAAAAAAAATCTCAAAAATCAACGCGATTTTTGACTATCTTCAAACTCGCATTTTCTATACCTAAATGAGCTACAAAACTGCACACTCAAAGAAATTCTAAAAAAATCGGATTAAAAAGTTGAAAATTTGCATGAAATTTTATTTAACTTTCCCGAGTTTTGCACAAAGTAGAACGAATAATATTTTTTATAAAAAATTGGAGAAAAAATTAGAATAAATATTGTTGCATATATTCTAAAAAAATCTCCGTGCCAATACTTTTTTCGGACAGTGTACTTTAACAAAACAAAAATATATTAAAACCTGGGCCCAAATTTTCAGTGCATGTTTAAACTTAGATCAGGTGAATTGCGTTCATAACAGCTGGCTGACATTTAATTCGCTAATCTTAGTTTAAGCCAGCTAGCTCGAGCGTTTAAACTAAGCTAAACCGCAGTCAGATTTAAACATTTACTTAAATTAAGTAAGTCATCTTAACAAAGAATAAAAAAAACATTACTTCACTTCACTTACATTTACCTCCACCGAGTGCATTGTCTCTGGATCTACACCAACTTCATCCCATGCGTCCTCCAGCAGATCCAGCGCATTCGTGAAGAACTTCTGATGTTTATACGTCTGCATTTGCAGCAATTGTGCTGCCAACAACATCAGCATGAAGAACGAGTACTTTGAGGTGTAAATTTTTTGCAAATAAAAAGGTGAGTATGTAAGTAAATAAACAAAAACTCAAGCAAAACAGAACACAATAACTCACAATTACACTGACGCCTAACGACTCGCAGACAACACCATAACAGCCAAAAAGCGTGGCCATGCATACAAAAGAGCCCAAAATGATACCAACTATACAGTAGGTGTGCTCGTCCGTATTCGGTATGGCATACTCCAAGCCGAAAGTGTTCAAACAAACAATACAAATGCCAAGTATCTGTGCAAAGGGGTGAAATAAATAATAGCAATATTAGCGCAAATGGCAAATAAATAAACAAACAATAATAATAATATTAAATATTTAGGTCAATCAGTCAGTAACACGACAAGTGCTAATTTTAATGCCGCTAGTGGGTGTAGTTGTCGATAATAAAAGCAAACAGTTTTGTTTTTTTGCATGGCATTTTTTTATTATATTTTGTCTTATGTGCTTACCAAACTAAAAAAATTAAAAGCGAATACAAAACACTTGACAGTCGAAAGGATTACACTCATTTTATATGTTTTAGTTTAACGTCTCACTTAGCCGGTGATTTAGTTAAAAAAATATTTATTTAAATATTAATATTTATTGTCTAGCTATGCAAACGATTTGTTTCCTTACACACCAAAGTCGTAACTGAAGTCGATGTCAGAAAATTGTATGTAAAATAAATATTAACATTGCTTGTCAATGAAACAGGGCGATATTTTTTCTCTATTATTCAGTTATTCTATTTTTGGTATTACACCCAACAAACATTATAACGAAGAAGAATGCAAGATGTACCCGGATTAGCCGGGGTCTAACCGGTTGTCCAAGAAACAAGCTCGTTGAGGTCCCCTGGTCGCTTTCTGGATACACTTGAGGTGTGGACAAAGATCCTTACTCGTGGCTTACAAAGTGTTTGGCCGGTCGCTGGAAAACTACACTACGCTAATGTGCACTGAAGGGACCAGCATATTATGGACCTCGACAAAATAAGCAAACCGCAGCTGAACCTACGGATGCCGACTATCATTTCATGCCCTCGGAACATCGGCTCCGCGGCGAAATGGAAATGCGAAATACCCAGCACGTTGTTTTCGAAGCAGTCCCTCTTAGGATGCCACCGGTATGATATTAAGCCATTCTCGAAGAAACAACACAACAGAGCATATAGATATAGTGCGTTGGAGGCACCTCAATAGCTAATACGACATCAGCCACATATTTGCATGTCCGTCTCACTTGACCATCCTGACGCCCGAAGCCTTGTGGTCAGCACCCATCAGCGCAGCGCAGTTCTTAGGCCTCATGCTCCCCAAGTGGGATAAAAAAGATGTCAGTCTCCACTAGTCTGAGTTTTGACGCGTGAGGTTGTGTGAGTATCATGCAAGAACCCCAACTACTAATCAGCACATTGCTCTATGAACTCATATGTAGTATACAAAAGGGTTTTAGCGTTTTAAATTTTTAGAAAGATGTTGGTTGTACCGAAATAAATTAGTGCATTTCACAAAGTATTTGCGTTTGGTTTAAATGCTTTATCTTTCTAGGGTCTGAGAGAGCTTATTGAGAAATGTTGGCCAGTCACATTGAGTGATGATAGACTTGCGCATCAGACATCTCGTTTTCATCCATTTCGTTATGACCTTATGACGGCAGATATTTGGTCATTTGTCTGTGGGGTATTTTAGTTCTGCTCTGTGGCACACAGAGCTGCAGACTCTGTTGGAACGAGTGTTAAAGTGCAAGTTGCAAACATAACACAACAGCTGCAACGACCCCAGTTATTTTGATACCATCTGTAAAGAAAATGAGCGAATCCACTAAGTGTCATCGTCAATTTCACCTAACGGTAGATTTAGGAGATAAACAGTTTCGACAGGATAGAACTATCAAAAGAGGAGGGTTACATGAATTGGTCTAAATGGTCATTTGGCATGGACGTCTGTGGTGTATGTCCTGATGCATTCTGGATGTGCAGGATTTTAGCCTGCTATAATATTAAGATCATAACACGAGCTCTTCGTCGTTGGTCTCCGGAGATGGCACTCACGATGAGATGAGGACCAGCATTATATATAGTCAACGTACTATAGGTGGCATCAGGAAATAACATCCTGTGACAAGTTTATGTGCCGTATTCTGACAGATCTGAAACATCGTCCACTGCGCCCTACTTCTCTTCGGCAACCACACAGAGACAGTACAGATGTACATGCATCTCTTTCTATTTATCATTGCTTGAAGCCGTTTCTCCAAATTGGTTTCGGTAACAATCATTTAGTCTCGTTAAATGTCTTAGCTCTCCTGTAACATTTAGTCTTAAAATCCGACCAGTGCATGGCTAATAATTCCGTAGGATACAGGCCCCAAAATGTATTGCATTTGAGGAAGTTATTAACTAAGAGACTAGATTTGGAGTATTAAACCTCATATAACTGCGAGGTTGATGCAGTGGGATATATTAGGACATAAGCCATATGCCTGAGCATTGTATACGTATAAGTAGTTAGTAGCATTCGACCTCCCGGTACGTTTCCTGTACTCGTACTTATTTAGTTAAGAAGGAACGTAAAGCAGTGGCTTGTATTTCTAGCAGAATAAAACTAAGTCTCTTTTGTCCGGATTTTTCTTAATGTCCCCATAAGTATATCGCTCATTGAGTACAGACATCTTCTTGTAAAGGTGATGGCTAAATCGTTTACCCGTGCGCCCATATTTTGGCTTATTGGGCATTTTGTTGTATAAAAATATTGCTATAAGTAGTACCTTTTCGTATCAATTTGCGCATGTTAATGAACTTCGTTAGTGATAACAGCCGTATGTATTAATATTCAATGCACTAACACACATAATTATACATACTAACTCAAGAGATTCTGAACGCAGACCTTTGGCTATTAAGCTAAGCGTTCAGTGCTCATTTGCATTTACGCTAACACTTCGAATAATTGTTAGGAGTGTACGTGAAGGGACAGCGATTATGTGCATATGGAAATTGTGTACCTCTTATATGTATATAAAAATACCATGTGTTTCTGTTGGTATGACTTTTATAGACTGCAGAACTACTGACCCGAATGAGTTCAAATAAGTGTTGGGGCAAGGTTAATCTGATTAACGATTAAAGTTTTAATTGCGATAAATTATTAAATATAATTAATGGAACCTGGTCGGTTACTTCATCAATCGTTGTCACCAAGATTAACTAACGGTAGGCCCAAGAAAGGAGCTGTTTCGACGAGGTCGGACCAAAGGGTGTTGTTTGAGTTAGACTGAGCTAAAATGTGAAGAGGTGTTGAGTGTCGTGGGTAGGTTCCACATGCTGGACACTAATTGGGGATATCGGGGTCGAGTCTTTATAAATGTCTGTTGAGACGACTACAATATTCTGACCGTAATTGGGCCAGAGTAGCGCGGATTTCTCGTAGTAGTCGAAGCTCAGAGTCTGCCATAGGTGGAGATTGGACTCCGATTGCGCAGTAAATAGATCGTGAGTCGTGGTAGGTAGTGACCGATTCTTTATGAATGCCGTTGAACACTTCATGCACAAGGAAAGATTCCTTCCTTCGTCCAGGTGATGAAGAGGTTCGCCGTTGATTTCGTTGGTGAGAGGGTTGGGCTCCTTGGAGTGAAGAAGCGAGATAGGTCGGGGAGGTAGAGGTTTACTTTCGAGCAGAGGTCATCAATTCAATTTTCAGACGCCAATATCGAACAGTCCTCAGCGTATGAGATCAGGGAAATTCCCCACAGTGGCAGAAGAAGCTTCAAGGTATGGAAGTTAAACAGTACGGGGGGAGGACAAAACCCTGTGGAGCCCCTTGCTTAATTCTTCTAGGTTTTGAATTTTGAAATTAATGTCGTTCGACAATTCGAGAGCAAATTTGAATAATGTCTTTGCGCAAACTGCCTGGTAAATATTTATTGGTCCAAGAGCGAAAGTTTATATTGAATTTACACGTGAAGGATCAAAAGTCATATTCGGAAATGGCCAAGCTCACGTCCTCCAGCCGCTTAACTGTTCAATTCATAATAAGGCGCTTTAAAAATGAGGGCAGCCTACAGTACTCATGCATGGAGATTGACTACAAATAAAACGTATGGTGTCTGAGCGAGGATCCATTCATTAGTGTAGCAAAATCAGTGCAACACTTCTTCAATCCAAACAAAAAGAAGTTCATCCTGAAACTATGTATATGAGAAGCAGTGCATGATGTCGGGTTTGAAAATTATCCTGATAGGTGGTGCTTGAGTGTAGATATCTCTAAAAACCGTATTTGCAATTATTTAAAATCCGATTCGATTCTAATTGAGGACTATGTTAGCCACGTGCATAAATAGCAATACTTTTTCCGATAAGTGTTACTGGAGTCAGGGACATGTCTATAATTGGTAAATACGGTTGATGCTAATTTAGAACTACGTATGTAGCAATTTTTCCTAAAAACCATAGGTTCTGTTTGCCGGCACCGTCAGTAATTCCACATGAAAGGCCAACTGGTGAACTAAACGCATGGCTAAATTCTTCCATAATTTGTAGACTTATTAATATTTTAAAAACCTTAATGTGCTTAATTTTAAAACCAATTAAATAGCACGAGTGGCGTTGGGTGACAAAAATATTGATGTTTATTCCTTTAAAAAAGTTTTTCAGAACTGAATCGAGTACAAAATAGTTGCTAATACTATAATGAAAGGCTAACTAACTAACTGTCATACTATTTCCACTGAACGTTTAAATTCACTAGAAGCGCCAAAAACTCGAACGAGACGACCGACAAAAGAAAATTAAATAATTTAATTGAAACGATTGTTATTCCTTAGAAATATAAAGGTGAAGGATTACTCCTGCATGGCGCATATTTTACACATTGACTAGTGTAAACATAATTTCGGTTTTGCTTAAATACTTAATTGCATTTTATCCCGAATGTGTGTCTGTGCATAATTTCGCCACCGTAATTCATCGAATATACGTTTTCTCGTATACTTAATTCATTCCACAGCAAAACGAAATGCTTGTGATTATAAATAAACAAGTGATTCAAAATTATTTAATACATCTAATTACGCGTGCGCCTGTAAAAGATAATATAAAAAATCCATTGTTATTTTCGTGTTTTATTGGCAAAAGAAGAATTTATTTAATTTTAAAGCAGCAGTACGCTGTTCGTAAATAGCAGCATTAGCAGTTGACAACTTCAATTTGATTTAGTAGCATTAAGCATTGAGTTAACTAACAAGTTTAGCAAGAGAATTTGATTACCTTCTATATTTTAATAAAACTTATCAACTTAATTATATCTAAATATTTTTTGCACGTACTTTCAGTACGCTTCTTAATGTAAACGCTTTTTTTGTTCTACAAAATTTCATTAAAAATAGTGTTAAAATAAATAGTATAGTTTAGTAAATATTAACTACTACTCTAGTCGAACAGGTATTTAGATATAAATAGGTATGTATATCTGTGTATATTGTGGGTAAAAGTACTGATTATGTTTATTGGTGGTTATTGTTGTTGATGTTGTTTCCTTTTTGTTTACGGTGTTGGTTCTTGGTGGCTGGTATTTCGGTCTCAGTACTGGACGTAAGAACTAAAGATTTTTTTTTCTACAAATTTTCAAATAACAAAAAAATATCACAAGTACACTTCGCAAGTGTTCATTCACTTCGTGTTTTTCGCTTGTCTCCATGAATTGATGCGTCTTCTCTTCTAACATGATGCTTATCTTAATTTTATCGTAATTGTTTTTAATTTAATTGGCATTTCTAATTGCTTCTGTAAAAAAAAATTCGCGCTTTATAATCTTTTGTGATCGCGCGGTTTTGTGAGTGATTTTCTGTAAAACATTTTTAAATTCTCCATGGCAGTGGTATGAGACCCCACTTCTGCGTGATGTCTTTATAATCACATTCAATGGCAACAACGATTTTCTCCACCTTTTCGGTGCGTGGCATTTTGGTTGCTTTCAAGGTGAGGCAAAGTTTTGAATCGCGGTGCGAAATATGCTGAGTCTACAAAAGGGATAACAGTCAAAAGGGTGTGCAAAATTAACAATGCATGCAATAGTAAATTAATATCAAATTTGGCTACTCACATCCATGTCGTAGATCCAATACTGCCGCGGATGATCTAAGCACATGGTCAATTGCACATTTGAAGTTAAGTTGCGGCTCTTAAGCTGCTGTATAACTCCTAACTTCGGCTCTCTGTACGTCAGACACACATTATCATTAGTCATGATTTGTCCTTTCGGTGTAACGACATACATATCCATAGACTTGGGATGCGCATTGCAATCGCGAACTGTAGCCGTTTGCAATGCAGTATGCGGCAAATCCTTATCCGTCGGCAGCAAACACTTGTCGCGATCCAAATCGATTAGCGACATAAATTGTTCACCATTGCTTTCGATTTCTTTAAAAATTCGCGGCCACTCGCGCGACAACCGACGTCCTGGTAAATTTTTCATGTGTTTCGTGTATGCCTGCGCACACTCAGTCTCGCCATCTAGCCAAATAATTTTGCCAAAGAAACGATCGGGTGTTGGGAAGAAATGTTCCGGCCATATATTCTCTAAATACCAGGAAAATGGTTTGCATTGGAGTTTCTCGCGCAGGGAGAGGCGATCGCTGACATCAATCCGTTCACGTGTCTCCAAAGAGAGACCGGATGTGTACAAGAGTATAAAATATTGCCAGTCGTCCATCCAAGTCATAGCGGCGCGCGCTAAATTATTTCCCAACACTTCGCTCATGCCGCCTGGGAAGGTGTACGGTGTAGTGCTGCGGAAAACATGGCCTACGTGCGAACAGGGACAGATTTCGACACGACCTCCACATTGCCACACGCGGAAAGACATCTCAACATTTTCGCCGCCCCAAATCTGTAATTGTAGTAGATGACGTTTAATAAATCTTTCTCACAACAATTACTCCTTTAATTCCAATTTTCAAGCACATCCGTACCTTCATCTCTTTGTCGTATGAGCCAATTTCAAAGAAATAGCTCTTGTCGATTGCAAATAGTCCACCAGCCATGGCCGGTGACGCGATCGGCTCAGTGCGGTCACTCTTTGGCGTTGCTCTGTTGCGTCTGGTGCTGTACCATCTAAAACTGAGCTGCCAATTAAAAGCACCCCAATGATTTTCAAATGTTTTTGTATAACTAAAATTATCATCGGAAATTATATCGATAACCGGCGCTACCACATTGGTGCGCGACTCCTTCACACGCTGCAGCAATGGCTCTAACCAGCCGCGCGTGCACTCGCAGTGCGCATCCAAAAAGGTCAAAACGTCGCCCTTAGCATGCTCGGCGCCCAACAAGCGCGCTGGCACTAAGCCGCCGCGTTTCTGTATGCGCAGCAAACGTGTTGGCACCGTAAGTACTTTAATATAGGCTTCGAGTTGCTTCTTCAGGTAAGCTGTAGAACAATAATACATATACAAGTTAGTAAAACAAAAAAGCTTTGAAAGGTTATGTGTTAAATGTGTTAATTACTGCATTTTGACAACGGCTATGAAATTAATTAAAGATATGCAAACTACAAAGATGCATAGCTATTTAAAGTTATTTATCTTGTCAGTTTACTTACAGCGATCGCTAGCATCGTCAACAAGAATTATTTCTTTGATCATTTTACGCGGCGACCGGTTGATAACGCTGGTTATTGTGCGCAAGAGCACCGACCAGGCCTCATTATGAAAAACTATTATCACTGATGTTGTGGGTAGTTCGTTGTGGTCATACCTTTTGTCACGACACCTGTAGCAAAATAAAAACAAAAATATATATACATAAGCCAATTAAGCGTACGCGCTAACACAAATATTTTGTGATGTTTTTCTTTTGATGATTTTATGCCTAGTCAGAATTTCAGGGTCACTGCAATACTAAACATTTGAGTGTGGGCTATTTTTTATACGTTTTTTTCCGTTTTTTGGTGCATTTTTTGGGCAATGGAGTTGATGATCTTAATGTTTTAGTTTGTTTCGTACTAAGCTTGATTTTCTATGGTCAGTGGTTTGTTGTGCACTTACTCTTTTATTCTGTAATCTTTTAACGTACGATTCAAGGGTATACGGTCACTGGCCAGTATATTAAAGCTATTTAGCTTGAAAAATCGTTGCATGCGGAAGCTATCGCGCGCTGGCACTACAACTGGCCGTCCATCAGCACCTTCGCCTTCAATGGGATTGAATAGGTTTATGTTGTAGTCATCTGAAAGAATTTTAGATATTAAAAAAAAAACGAGTTATACGCATAAGTTATTATGCACACCTCAAATACATATGTGTATACATACAGATGCGATCAACTAATTAGCTACGAAATTCAAAATGATATTGTCTGCAAATTATGTTTATTTATTTTTAGCAATTTTCATATAAATAAAATACTCTATAACAGGAACTACAATAATAGTTTAAAAGCTTACACAAATTGCAAAAAAATTTATCAAATTTCAAAAAATCGTCATCAAAATTTCAAAATGTTTAATCAGAATATTAAGAAAATTTTCGGGTATGCAGTTTTGGAGCCCATTCAATTGTAGTATAAGGGCTAGTTTTTAGTCATTAAAAATTACAGATGATTTTTTAGAATTTTTGCAGATTTTTTGTTTTGTTGAGGGTATTGCTGTTTATTTCCATATAAAAAATGTTGATCATGTGTTATATGGAAGAAAATGCGCAACACCCTCCACAAAAAAAATTCTAAAAAATCAACGGTAATTTTTAACGACTAGAGACTTGCACTTTCTTATACTACAATTGAATGGGCTACAAAACTGCATACCCGAAAATTTTCTAAATATTCTAGTTAACAATTTTTTGAAGTTTGATTATCTTTTTTTTTTGCAATTTGTGCAAGCTTTTGAACCTTTATTATTGTAGTTCCTGTTATAGTTAGATAGAGTATTTTATTTATATGAAAATTGATAAAAATAAATAAACATAATTTGCAGACAATATCGTTTTGAATTTCGTTGCTAATTAGTTGATCGCATCTGTACATATGTATACTAAAAGTCAAGACACTAAAAACAACGTATCTAAAAGCTATTGACTACATAAACATTTTTTTTTTCAAATTGTTTTTATGTTATTTACCTGCGGTTAAATTGGCAAATATATCACCTTTACCAATGTAGTGTGCAACTATGTTTTTTGCTTGCCAGAGTGAACGACGGTGGGGCTGAGGCTTTGGATGGCTAAGCGTTGCGAATGATGATTGCGAACGCGTACGATAGCGATAAATGGAGTAAAAAAGAAGCAATAAAGTTTTCATAGAATTGGTAAGTAGAGGAACTTAATAACATAGTAAAGGCGCTCAACTGTGATGGTCGATTGCCACACAGCGCAGAAGTGGTAAGAAGCATAGTTTAATGGCACAATCGTTGCCAAAAATTGTTGATGTAACGGTTTCAGTCAATAAGCCACAAATGCTAGCGTTTACCACTTTTGTGCGCCAAATATAGCATGCGGTTCACTTTTTAAAATTACATATTTTTATAATGAATCACATACTTTCATATGTACATAGATATCTATGTATGGCTATGTACTCGTATGTAGGAACTTACACATTATCCTGCTGAAATCCTTGTATACTGGACACATATAGATTGATACTTAGTGCAAACATGAAAAATGCGAAGAATAGCAGGAACAGGTAGAGCAGCCATAGCTTTTTCAATTGCTGAAATCTCAATCCCATTGTTATTTATGATTTTCTATTCTTGTTGACGCCACTAATTTATATGCTAATCTGGTGTTTGTTGTTATTATAGTAGTACTGACTACCGCCAGCGCGACGACTATGTAAAGAGTTGCTTTAGCGGTTTATTTGCCTAGCGCTGCGCGATACTCTGTTGATTACCACTGTTGCTTGGTCAATTCGTGAATGAGCTCCAACGCTGTAAGCAACTTGATTTTGTTTTGATTACAACAATCCAACTCCGGTAGTGGCAGTGGGGGCTATTGGTGCTGATTTGGTTGTTGGTGCGGTGGACGGCTTCTGTGCTTGGGTGTTAAATGTTGGCACACTTCTCTCGCTTACAGCATCTGTATCAGGTCGTTGCAACCGAAAAAATTGTTTACCTCATGCTTTCCGGTATATTTTGTTTGTAAGATGTTCTGAAACAGATAAATAAATACATCACGAAAAAGTTTTGGCGAGCTTAATCTCTTTGCAAAAACCCGTCTGTATGTTTGTCGTTGCTGATTCGATTAAAAGAAAGAGGAATAAGTCCCAAACCGATTCAGCCTAGTCCATAAATGTCCCAAACCGGTTCGCGCTAGTAAATAAAAACTCCAAGTCCAGAACCAGTCTTAAGTGCAGAGTTGTTACAAGTGATTCGCCAAAGACTAGGTTCACACAGAGAAACTTTGAGGCTCATTTTCGGCTGGCAACGGCCAACTGGAATTACTCAGACGAATGCGAGCATTAAGCGTGTTGCCCGCAGTGTTGCCAGAGAAAGTCCCCTAAAAATCTTAATTCTTTCCAAAAAAATCTTCAAAATAAGATTTTAAAGCTTAAAAAAATCTTTTCGATCCCAAAAAATCTTCATTTAAAAATACCTTAAAAGAAAGTCGATATTGGCTTTACGGCTGTAAATAGCCCTTATTATGTTGGTTGAAAAAATTACCAATTTCAAGTTATAAAGTCCTTTTTATAACAACTTAAATTTAAAATGAATATGGCCTCGTGTTATCACAAAATTTGTAGCACAGTTTACATATGTAAATATACACTGGCGAAAATATAAATAGGGACGCGACATTTTGCAAGTTCTGACCGACTCCAAAAATCAATTCGTGCGAATATTTTTTGTATGTATATATGTTACCGCATAACTTTGGACCACTGGAACTTATTTCGATAATTCCTTTTTATCGGAAAGGTGGTACTTCAAGGGAGGCCCCATACTAATTTGGCTTAGATCCGGTCATTGGATCAGGAAGAAATTGACTATCAATATTTACATGAGATTTGATCTCACTTGTGTTTTTTGATTAAAAAATTACTTGTAATTTTTTTATGAAAGAATAGCTCGTTATCTATCAAAAACCATGTAAGTCCAAACTCCAATCTTTGTACAAAAGTTTAGAAAATTCGACAAAGTCGATAACAATTTTGAGCTTTTTAATTCGTTTTTTTTTATTGATATTTTTACATGGATATTATTTTACACAGCTTACCGCTCCTTTTTTTCTCGTTATACATTTATCCACGTAGACTCATCAGCTTAAATGGCAGTTTACTTGAAAATTTCCATTGTTGTCATTTAAACTAGAGGGGATACAAAAGACCGTTTCTTCTTTTTCTCCACTCTCTAACTCTGCGCTAGAGTATATGTTTTACTGTGCGAGAGAAGAAGGCAGATAACACTGTAGGGGATTTCATATCTTATTTTTCTTCTTCCTTCATTTGCTGTTACAATGATGTAGCAAGGATAATATCAATAATTTAACAATTTTAACCTGAACTAAAAACTTTACATCATACACAAAAATCTTCATTTTGAAGATTTTTTCAGTGTAAAATTTTGCTTTTCAAACAAACTTTTTTTTGAAGATTTTTAATAAAAAACAGCCCGGAAATTTTTCATTTTCAAGACAAATCTTGACTTATGGCAAT